GAGAGAGAACACAAGCAGGGGGAGCCCGATGCGGGGCTCGATCCCAGGACCCTGGGACCATGACCTGAGCTGAAGGCAGACGCTTAACGACCGAGCCACCCGGGCGCCCCAGAAAGAGAGGTTTGTAGAACGTGTAGTCCCACTGCCTAGCACATACCCTGGCACACAGAAGGCAACCAGCGGACACTGCATCAACTAAAATTAATTCTAAAAAATAATAAAAATTAATAATAAAATCAAATCAATCCATTTTGGCCCAGTTCCACCTCCTACACAACATGACTTGGGGCAAATCACTTCATCTTGCTGGGTCTCAAGTCCCAGTCTGCATGCAGTGCGGTGATGACACCAACAATCCTCTTGGAATAGATCAAGGGTAAGTGAGACAATGCATTTACACATACTTGTGATCTGTTCAGAAATTTGCCTCCATGCTACTCTCTCTCAAATATTTATAGATACTAACATTTTAGTGAATAAAAATCTGTACATATGTTCTCAATGGCATTATTTTTTTCAATCAACTAGGCACTGGAAGTTGTAAATATGTATTTTTCCCAAAGGGGCTCAGCTATTTAAAAAAAACAAGGAAAGAAAGAAAAAGAACCCAGACATTTCTATTTTTCCCTAATTGGTTTTACTGAAGATAAAAATAAAAATGATTGCGGGGAGCCTGGCTGGCTCAGTCGGTGGAACGTGGGACTCTTGATCTCGGGGTTGTGAGTTCGAGCCCCATGCTGGGTGTAGAGATTACTTTAAAAAAAAAAATCTTTAAATAAATAAGATTGCAAGTCATCCATTAGGGCTATTTAGAAGTGTCAGCTACAGAACACAATCCGGCTGACTTTTTCTAAGCATCCCCCTCCCCCGCCTGTTTTTTTTTTAGTATACAAGCTACCTGATGTTTTGACAATATGCTTTTCTATATGTTGTTTATGCTAATGACATTCTGAAATGTAGTGTTTTTTTCAATCCTTTTAAAGTAAGTTCTTTTTTCAGTTACCTGAATTTATTTCTTGTTGTTTGCTGTCATTGGTTAAGGGGTTATCATACAATTTCAAGTATATTTCAATCGCTGATCTAGCAGCCTTGAAATAGAAGGCATGTCTTCTGAGTATATCTTCTAATCTCAAAAGGTCAACATAGGCACGAAGGGTCATCTTTCTCATGCAGTATGTATGGAAGTCAAATTGATCATCGGTTATCTCAAAAAAATGCTTTAAAAAAAAAAACCATAAAATTATCCCTTACATATATGTCAATAATGTCTATTTCTAAAAAGAAAATCATAAAAGCCCCTAATACAATGTAAACAGTCACAATTTCACTTAGTTGCCCTCTCGAAGTGGGCAGTCCTTAACACTACAAAAGACATCAAACTGTTCTTTGTATTCAATGTAAGCTTCTGTTACAACAATCCTCAGCCATTTCCTATAAATCATGTTTTGTGATGATACTCAATTTCTGTGTAGTAAGTTAGATGATCAGATTTTTTTAAACTCTGTAATCAGTACATATTCATTTTTCGCTCTAATGAAATATTTCTCCTCAGTATTCCCCAAAAATCAGCATGGCAGAGTTAAACAGAGCTCTGAATGAAGGTCAAATACATATAGGTTCACAGTAAGTGTTCACAAATCAGACTGTTCTACTCAACTGTAAGTTCTCTGAGGGTAAGCCCTGTCATCTCTATCCCTACTGCCTGGCATAGGGCCTAACATTCAGTAAGCACAATTTTTGCCAACTCAAGAGAGAAGCTACTTATCAGGCATGTGTAACCTCTTAATTTCCTACAGCCTCAAATATTTAATCTAAGTGAGGAGAAAGAAATCTATATGGCCAATTTCATAAAGTTGTTAAGGAATCAAATAAGAAGATATTTTAAATTTCACTGGACACAGAGCATTATGATTTTTTCTCATTCAATAAACTCCCATTAATCTACCAACGTTCCATTTTAGCAATGGTTCTTAATCTGTAGTCTATGTATAAACAAGCATAATAAAATTTTCCTAAGGACAGAGTTCAAGGCTTTCATTCAATTCTCAAAGGGTCGATAGCCCCAGAAGTTAAAGAACTAATTCCTTACATGGTAAGAAGACAATTAACATCCCTACTTCAAAACAATGTATACTTTTATTTTCTTTCCTATATGCATCTCTACCTCCATCTTCTTACTTTTCCTCTATTTTAGCTTCTCCAAAAATACACAGAAAAATGAATGATTCAATACACAAGACCAGATTAAGCTCTTCTCCTACTTCATCTGTCCTCTGTCCTGGGGGCCAAAGTAACTCACTGTGCAGAAGACACATTAGTAATTATCCACATCATTTCATAATTTTAGTTGTGTTGGTAATTAGAAATACTCTATACACAGAATTACATTAAGTACCTGAGACTTTAAGGGAAAAATTCTAAGATAAAAAGAATAAGAATACACAGTGTGGAGGAGGGGGAAAAATGAACCTTTAACATTAGCTGATAACTTTAAGAATCATGCTTTAATAGGTTATATTTTAAAATTGCATTCCTCTCATCAATAAGAAATCAACTCATAAGAATTAACATGAACCTTTTTTTTAATCAAAGGATTACGTATTTCACAGAGCTGTTCATGGTTAACGTAAATCAAGTTATGTCTAGCACCATAAGATCTTAAAATTCAATACAACTGAGGAAAAATGGCAGTGCCAAAAATCAAGGAATACATAATGCGATGACAACATCTAAGAGATTACAGGACTTTTTTAAAATTGAGAAACATTTATGTGTAAAAAGGCAGACACAAGTTTCAAGAGATACTCTAGCAGCTTTAGCAGATACAGATGCTAAGTCCAGCCTTGAGGGAGCCGGAGGGAACCACAAACATTTAAGCCGCCTCTTTATCAGCAACAGCCCACAGGCTGCCTCTCTCCAGTTAGTCTTCCATACATAGGGTAACCAACTTATCCCAGTTTGTCTGCGGCTTTCCCGGGTTTTCCAATGAAAGCCCTGTGTCTTAAGAACGTGCTCTGCTCCAGGCAAACTTGGATGTTGGTCACTCTATAGTAAGCTAACAGTGGTGGACAGGATACGGCTGGAGCACATTAGAAAAAGGAGGATACTAACAAAATAATTTTGCTTTGGGAAGAAATGCTATATTGCAGAATCCTACTTAGAAACAACTAAATAATCTTAGCTTGATTTTCTTTTTTAAAAACTTTTTATTTTGGAATAATTATAGATTCAGAGAATGTTACAAAGATAGCATAGAGATACCCTGTATACTCTTCTCTCAGTTTCCCCGTAAAAGTTATATCCTATATAACAACAGTTTGAGAACAAAACCAAAAAACTGACATTGGTACAATGTGAGTATATAGTTCTAGGTGATTTTATCACATATGTAGATTCATGTAACTACCACCACAATCAAGACACAGAACTATTCCATCACCACAAAATCTCCCTTACACAACCTTGGGGTGATTTTTTTTTAAGTCTCCAGATTTATAAAACATAAAAATCTACTAGCTGACACAAACAGGTGAAGGTAGTTTCTCCATACTTTAGCCAAACAGTAACACAATATGGTCACCTATCAGCTTTCTGCAGAAACTAGTTACCCAAATTTTAACATATAGCTCAGGCTTTTAACTCAATTTTCCCCTCAACATAAACTACTAGTTCTTTTGGGGTGAGGGAGGGGAGGGCAATGCCAGCAGGAATTGCTTAACTTGTCAAAATTAGGCTTGAATCAAAGTAAGACAAGTCAGTGGAGAATTAAGAAATCCTAGTCACAGTTTAAACGTGTGGACTCCTTTAAGAATTCCCTATTAGTCCCTCTCTTCTCACCCAGAATCTCCCACTTCATTACTTCTCAGAGTTGCTGGAGGAGACCAACAAGAGCTCTTACACAGAAAGGCAACAAAAACCTCTGACTCAAAAATAATAACCAGACCAACTACGGTAGTACGCAACTCCATGCCCTTTATAGAAAATCTGTCATTATAAAGCACATGTCAATTGGATCAAGATTAAGATGCACTAGAAGATCACATTATGAACTGCCTATGGTTCTGATCTATCAGAAATCCTAGATCTTATCATAAAGTTTTAGAAATATATATTGCTGCTCTGTTTCAGATATAAACCAGCACACTAAAATGATGAGAAACTAATCACCTGGAAAAAAAGGAAAAGAAAAATTCTTAAAAGATAAAATAGTTTAAAATTATTCTGAACACAAGTTTATATCCAATATTCTGAAGATGGTTGTTTTGTTTTTAATAAAACTCAAGTTCTAAACAGACTGGGCTGGACTTCATAACCTTTACATATAATCCTATAATCCTCTGAGGGGGGGCAAGATGAAAGCAGAACAAGGACTACACTGGACCATTCCAGAATTCTAACATTCTAAATCCAATTACTAAAAGCTCACAGCAATATGTGTCATAGCTGAAACCGCCCTTGGAGAATTCTTGAATGGATTTTTGAAGGCAGAAGAAAGGCCTAGCCCTTATTTGAACTTTTATCTGTATTCATTGAAGGTGAAGGTAAATTGCAAAGTTTTATTTCTGAAAGGTGCTCATTTCTTTACTAAAATACTTAAAATCCAGGCACAAAAGCAACTCATGCACAATATTTATCATAAAAAATCTGTGAATTCTGTAATTACTCTTAAATCCTTACAAATTACATTAAGAATTCTTTTCGATGTTAATTTTATTAGAAATGAATTTTACCATTAATCAGCCAATAAATATTTAATCACCCTATTTGTACTAAGCATTCACATTTCTACATAAAACCACTAGTAGAGTTAAGCCTTACTTTTACTATGAATTACTCACTATTAAAGACTAGCTTACAAGTGGCATAAGAATAGGCTCCCTTTTTTTTTTTTTAAGATTTTATTTACTTATTTGACAGAGAGAGACAGTAAGAGAGGGAACACAAGCAGGAGGAGTGGGAGAGGGAGAAGCAGACTTCTCACCGAGCAGGGAGCCCAGAGCAGGGAGCCCGGAGCAGGGAGCCCAACACAGGGCTCCATCACAGGACCCTGGGATCACGACCTGAGCTGAGAGCAGATGCTTAACAAACTGAGCCACCCAGGCACCCCAGCTCCTTTTTTTTTTTTTTTTTTTAATCTGTGTCTAGTTCTTTCTCTCCTCAAGCACTAACAAATCCGAAATAAAAACAGTAAAGTTTCTAGCAATAATTATGTAACATGAACAGAAGGTGACAATTTCTGCCGTATTTTAATCTCTGATAGTCATGTTTTTCTTTTTTTCTTCAAAAATGCTTTCTACCAGTCAAATCATATTTCTTGAACTAGACATAGTTGATCTGACATTACAGAATTTTATTTCATGTTACTCAGCCAACATCACTATAAATTTAAGGGAGAGTATAATCTAAATGAAACGTAGTAATGGAACAGCTATTCATCATATTCTAACAATCCTCAGTAAATATTACAAAGGAATATGTAGTCATTAATGTTAGGAGGAGTGGGGCTGAAGCTGGAGATATAATGATCCTAAGGATGTGCAAATTTCACTTTCACAGAAAATGTGATAAATTTCTAGCTATGGTCATAATGGAATTACTGATCCATAAGTATCTTCTTCATTCAGGAAATAATCTATTGTTCACCGAGAACGTCCTGGTTCATACGAATGTTATCTTTCCTCAATAACAAGAAGAATGTGTTTGAAGTGCTAGTCATCTAGGAGTGCTGAAACAAGCTCGTGATCTAGGGTTTTATCACAGAAATAAGAGCCGGATTTAAACGAGAAGGCTCGGATATTGCCTCAATATTTCACGTATCATCTGAGGGCTTTCTATCTTTCAAGGAGAAGATGAGGATTTTCCCCAGAGATAGAGCCATCAAACCCAGGCTTAAAAAGAAAACAAAGAAACCCCCAAACAAACAAACAGACGAGGTTATTTCTGAAAGGGCTCAGGCAGAATCCTCATTCCAGTTCCCAGCAAAAGCCACCCCCTAAGACTGAGCCTTTCTCCTGGGTCACGTCAGAAGTTTCACACGGGAAAAAGGCCAAAGTGACTGCCGAGTGCAGACATCAGGCTCACCTGACTGCGTCAGCATGGGAGCAGTGGTGCCGACTGAGCCCCCAACTGAGGGCTGCTGAGGACTGCCTCAGGCGCGCTTTTGTGGCTCTTTTCCTCCTGTTGTCCATTTGGAAGGAGAGTGCTTCAGAGATGACAAAGAACAGGAAAACAAAATTCACACAAAGGAAAAGAAAAGTCCCCTCAACTAAGGCACATCACACATAATCCTAACAGCAAGTAATACAATAAGCCTGCAAAGCAGCCACAGACTGCTGTTCGAAGAGAACAAATATCCTGGGAAGACAAACTGGAGAGAGGCTGACTACAGAGCAGATCCTGACGTAAAGGGGAAAGAGGTGGCCATCAGCTTGTGTGTCCTGCTGGGCTAGTGATGAAATCAAACAATGGCCCGATTATGAAATACAAATTCTGAATATATGTCAATAACAGCAATAATGGCTTGATAAATCAATCTTTTCCTTCTTCCCGCAGACCAAATTATGTAGACATGTCACAATCATAACCATCTGAGGATCAAAAAAGCAGTCATCTGTTTGTTCACAACTTCTGAATGTCTGAAAGGCTAAAGATCCAGATTTTTTTTTCACAATGAAGTTTCCAAAGTAGTTAGAACAGGTAGATGATCCCATGTAGAAATCAACCTGCTTTTTTCATCACCTTACAGGAGAAAAATAAAGTCAAAATTCTACAACTTACCCTTTCTACTTCGTGGCATTTTTTCAAGGCATCCCCATATCTCCCCAAACGCTGGTAAGCCAAAATGCATTCAGTTTGAAACCACATACACTGCATTTCATTTAGATTTTCCATGGCAGATGTTCCTTCCTGAAAAAGAAGCATTCATAAATATGGGAAGCAAACAATAAACGAGATCCTAAAAACCTCATTTTCTCTTTTACGACTATGGCTACAAGTATTACTATGACAATAAATAGCAATAAACAAATATCTCAGGGTGCTTCCAAAGGCTCCTGCTGATTCGAAATTACATAACGTCTTAATTTACCCAGCTCTGTCAGGGTATTCAACACTCTACCCAGAAAAGACATCAGATGGCTGAAGCTAAGTTTTTGAACATCAAAACTTTTATTTAAACTATTTAAGACAGGGGCGCCTGGTGGCTGAGTTGGTGAAGTGTCTGACTCTTGATCTCAGCTCACGTCTTGATCTCAGGGTTGAGTTCAAGCCCTGTGTTGGGCTCCATGCCGGGCGTGAAGCCTACTTAATGAATGAATGAACCATTATTCTATGAAGCACTGCCTATCTTCTTTTTAAGCAGACGCTGTTTAGCCTTTCCTTGATGGCTCAGGGTCACTATGATGTACACCCATTATTGCTGAATCTGTTAGGAATAGTCCCAAGCCTGCTTTCCAGGGTCCCAGTCTCCTCCCTTCATCCTCGGCTATCGGTTGATACTTTCTTCATGTCCATGTGTCTGCTTCCTGTTCCATGCCAGCTCCTCTCATTTGCAGTGACTGACGAAGCCAAATAAGGGTATTTGTGAAGAATACTTGTTAACTCGGGTTCAATGAGAATTCTGAGCAGAGTGTAAGACCTAAAGTACCTAGTTTCAATGGAGGGCCACTGAAGCTTTGTCACAATTTACAAGAGTTATTTCAAATATATTTTATGTGCCCCACCAGGGAAGATGATAAAGGTACATGTACATAAATAATTTCAGTCTTCAGTTCTTTTTCACACTCATTTTTGGGTGACCAGTTCAATTTTCAGATTCTCATTAAAAGTATAAAAACTGGTTATCTCTCATTAAATGGAATTATAGGTGTATGCTATTTCTTCCTTATGGTTGTACATATTTTCCATTTTTTGATAACTACATATTTTTGTAAGAAATCTACATTATTTTTCATTTGAAAATCTTTCCTAACTAGAACTGTCCAGCTTGCATCAGCAACTCTGTACAAAAACTCTAAAAAACCTGTGGAAAATCTGCAAGAAGGAAATGTGCCACTTCACTGACTTATTAGTATCAGATAGAATCACTTATAATCAGACGTGAAGTGACTGTTGAAGATTAGCAGTCTTCCTCCTCTGGCTCAGAGGGCTATCCACCACCATTACGGACACGCCTGGCCAAGGAACGAGACTGGCCCAACAGAAGCAGCTCTCCATCCAGGAGGACAACTTGTCAAGAGTAGATGACCAGACGCAATTCTGACAAGCCAGCTGGACCACAGATTTCAGAGACTCCTCTCCTCAAACAGCCAACCCTTCCCCTTCTTCCTCATTCTGTGGTGCCTTTTCAGACACATCCTGGCTGAGTGTGGCTTAGGGTGCACATGTGCATGTTGGTTTTTAAAATCACTGGACTTATTCAACTTAAGTTCTGTAGACTCGTTTTACTTGCACTTTCCTTCTCATCTCCGCTCTGGCCTTCCAGGTGGTTGTCTTCTGCACAAACACTGCAGCTTTTACATCTATTCTTGCACCGTCTTCCCATCTCCAAAACTGTGCTGCAGTGCGAAGGGCATGGAAGCGTGTGAGCCCCAGCACTGTGTACTATGTGACCCCTTCAGAGCCTCGATCACCTTGCTGCAAAATGCCAACACATGGTTCAGTGCTACGTGAACATAAACACTATCATGATTTTCCTCATTTTATTTTTCTTTCTCCTAACCTGATACCCATCATTCTTCCTAATGCTTTTCCCCCACAATACATCTACCATTTTGCATCTGTTGATCCTGCGGCATGTGAATTTCAGAAACATTAGTCAGTGCAGTTTCTGCTCCTATTACAATTCTAAAACACGGGTTTTAGTGTCAGAGACCCCTAAGCTAGAATCCTGGCTCCAAAATGAATGACTAGCTGGCTGATCTCCAGCTGGCACAGTACCTGATCACTCTAAATATTTTCTTAACTATAACATGGGACTAGGGCACCTGGGTGGCTCAGTCGTTAAGTGTCTGCCTTCGGCTCAGGTCATGATCCCAGGGTCCTGGGATCGAGCCCCGCATCGGGCTCCCTGAT